ATCATTCTCAAAACGAGCAAAAGAAAGCAGAAAATGTCGCCGGTGTAGTTTAGTGGTAGAACGTTCGGTTGTGGTCCGAACAATGGGAGTTCGATTCTCCCCACTGGCATGACGTTTTTGATATTTTTCGCGTCTGATAAGAGTGAGAAGACCCGAAATGTTTTTGATTTCTGGCACTTTCCAGCGCACATTTTCAGAAGATTAATTATGTCTCTGATTCTGTCTAATCAGACGCGAAAGCACTCTAGTGTAGATTTTTCCATGTTGTTGGACGTGCTGTTTCTCACAGCAGATGCTCATCTCATTTTTTTTTAAACTATTTTTGTTGTTGCTTATAGTCTGTTTTCATCTATACGAAATAATGATTGCTAACGGGTTGGGCAGAAAAAATGACGCCACTTTGCAATTCATCCTTTGAATAATCATATCAACTCCAAACCTTCGTTGTGAGCTTAAAAGACGCAGAATTTTCTTTAGTTTCTAGTGCTGTGTTTAGATTAAGATGTACCCTAATCGTCTTTTCGCTGTACTCAAGCGATCGGAAGTCTCAAAAATCTCAACTGGCCACCCTTTCACTACAAAAAAAATGATTTATATCTTCATAGAAGTTTTGCTCGCGCGATTGATACACGGTACTACAAACTACAATAAATACTTAATCGCTGAAGCACAAAACGATATTTTTGGACAAAGTTTTAGAGCCGTAAAAACAGCCTACAGCACAATTGGGTCATTATTTGTGTTTGGCACCATTCCTTCCAAAGGAAGATATCTGAACGCTGTCATCCCTTACTAAACCGATGTAACCCATAGAAAGAAGTACATTTTATAGAGCTTGAAAGTCTGTATCTTTTGATATAAGAACAATAAGTTTTATAAGGCAGGACTTTGAGGAAGTCTCCAAAATAAAGTACTATCTCTTAGGTCAAAGATCTCTTTTTGATGTTTTCCATTTTATAAAACAGTAACAAATAAGCGTATAAGAAACAACACGCAGCTATATACTACGAAAAATTCTGCGTCTTATAGACCTTGAACCAAATTTTTGCAAAATACTTAAGGGGGAAAACTTACATTTTGAATTTTTCTGATTTTGCAGTTGAGCAGTTGAGATTGTCGTGGGTTCGAGTATTTTTACTGTTGTGAAAGAACGGAACATGCTTATTTTTAAAACAACGTATGAATAAAATCTAGACACAATTCTCTATCTTTCTGACATAAAAATGAAATTTTCTGATCAAGTTTAATTTGAGGGAAAATTTTGCAAAGTGGCGTCGTTTTGTCTGCTCAACCCGTTATTATGAGTGCCTCCCCGCTTGCTTGTGATCGTATTAGTTATTTCTTCTGCACACAGTGGTTTGTGGTCGTCAATATGAGCGCGTATATATGTATATCGATCAAAGTAAACGTTTAGAGTAGCCCTGAACGTCGTACCAGACCAGGCATTTATTTAAATACGGCTATTATGTAGTTATGAACTCAAACCAACTGTAACAGATGATGATCCAGATTTTGATGACACTAGTGCCAAGAAATTTAGCAGTGCATTGCTGGCGACGTTAATATACATCACCACAGCACCGATACACTGATCAACGTATTCATGCATGCCTGTTTCTCCTCTTCTCGAACCGTCTATGCTCACATTTATTCATTTGCTTGTACATATTTTTACTTTGGGTTCTGGAAAGATCAATTATAAATGGATATAAACTTGCAAGACTTGTACTAAGTATATAGTACAACGGTACGGTTTGTGGTCGTCAGTATGATCGGGTATATATATATATCGATCAAAATAAACGTTTAGATAGCTCTGAACGTCGTATCAGACTTCAGAAACGTACTTCAAAATGTGCTGCTATTTGTTTAAAACAATCTCAAATACATTCGCCGCTTGCTGTCGATCGTCCATCTACCAAACGTCGTCGTTAAAGATTTTTCTTATTGTTTTCGTGTGCACAATAGTCAGAGTGAAAAATCTTTTTCTGTAACTTTCTTTATTATTGTGTTCGATGGCCATAAACGTTATTCATAAAGTTTTTCTACCTTGTGTTTCTCGATGTGGAACAGTTAAAATCAGGTATTTTTTATAATTTTCTGCATTTTTGTTAGTAAGTATCGGGTCCTTTTGTTAAAATATAGTACAGCTATTTAGATGGAATCATATCAAAATTTGCGTTCAGTTTCAATCCTCCAATTATAAACTTCTCGGAAGATAGGCAACAAATAAAGTTTTTTCTCATTTCACAGAATTTCATGACCTGAAATACATGAGCTCATGTCTTACTATATACTTAGTACAAGTCTTGTAAGTTTATATCCATTTATAATTGATCTTTCCAGAACCCAAGTAAAAATATGTACATGCAGAAGGATAAATGTGAGCATAGACGGTTCGAGAAGAGGAGAAACAGGCATACATGAATACGTTGACAGCTGACGTTGATCAGTGTATCGGTGCTGTGGTGATGTATATTAACGTCGCCAGCAATGCACTGCTAAATTTCTTGACACTACTGTCATTAAAATCTGGATCATCATCTGTTACAATTGGTTTGAGTTCATAACTACATAATAACCGTATTTAAATGAATGCCTGGTCTGGTACGACGCAGAGTTGGAACCGGGCCGGCAGACCGACCGGGTGCCGGTCCTGTCCGGTGTAAAAGTTTAGACCGGCCGGTCTCCACCGATCTTTTGCCGGTCTAGAATATTTTCAAACCGGCCGGTGAACGACCGGTTTTAAATTCTTAGCATTTTCCTCTTCTTCGTTCAAGAAAACTGACATGTTCTTCGGACATTAAATTTAAGACAAATGACTTAACATACAATAACCTATAATTAAAATAAGAACAAACCAGACTATTTTCTTCTTCTTTTGTTTCTTAGTCATTCATTGATAGTGATACGGAAAAGGATTAAATCCCTCTCTAGCAATAGCTATTACCGTCATGTTTTCCGTATCACTATCAAAGACTAAGACTGAGAAAGATGACTAAGAAAGAAAAGAAGAAGAAAATAGTCTGGTTTGTTCTTATTTTAATTATAGGTTATTGTATGTTAAGTCATTTGTCTTAAATATCAAATAAAATAAAAGAAGAGAATTTACTCATATCAAAAAGCAAACTTTTATTCTAACAATGATCGACCCTGACTCTCTGACTAATATTGAAATTCAAAAAAGAATTAATTTAAAATCTTACTTCTTGGTCGAAAATGAAAAAGCAAATCATGATATTTGGAAAAATGATATCTCATTAATTGCAAAAAAAGATCAGAATGCCGTTACTCAAATTCTAGAAGGATGGGCAGCTTGTAATTATTGTTATTATGCTTATCGAACACATTCAAAGATAGATAAGCTAAGTTTACTTTCTCTTTCTTTTTATCTAATTTTTGAATGTTTCAGTGAGTCAAAAACGAAAGCACAAGCAAGTTCTCAACAACAGCGGTTGTCTTCATCCTCCTCCTCTCATCCTTTACAACCGAAATTTGCATTCAATAAAAGGGCATTACCAGAAAAATACAAGCTAAAATTGAAAGATTCTGAATTGAAGTTTGTCGTAGCCGGATCTCATTCATTGCATTCGTTAGAAAATGATGGACTAATTCAATTAGTACAAACAGTAATTGAAATAGGAGCCAGTTTTGGATTGGTTGATGTTCGTGATGTGTTTTATGGAAGAAAGACTATACGGGAAGAAGCAATTGTGAAGTTTGAAGATTATATTCAATTTATACGTGCTATACTTGATGAACCTGTAAAACAACATTGTCTTGCAGCAACCTGTGATATATGGACTGATGATTAAATGAAACGTAGCTATCTTGATTTCACAATATTTATCGTAAATGAAAATTATGAATTGAAGCATTCACTGTATCTGATGTAAACAGTTTGAAGAACGTAAGACTGGTTTAAATATTTGGAAAGAAATTGAAGAAATTTTTGAATCCCTTAACTTGTCGTTTGGTGACACTCCTGTCACAACTGATCAGGGTTCGAATATGGTAAATGCATTGAAAATTAATGATGAAGCACGTTATGCTTGTTTTGCGCACAGAACAAGTACTGTTTTAGAAATCGCATGGGAAAACGTAAAAAAGTGGGTGTTTCTATTTTTATTTAACAAGATAAGTTTCATTATCCTTCTTTTAACCATCTGTCTGAATACATTCTAGATATGAATAATGAATTTAAACTGTACTGTACAGCTGTGAGTGATATTAGAACCTATGTACAACAAAGTGGAGATCTGCAACGTAAACTGCCAAAGAGAGTGTGTAATTGATTATTACGTAGCATGAAACGTTTTTGTTTATTAATTTCTTTTTGCTGATTTAATTCTTGAATGTTCTAGCTGAAGAGGACGAGTGGAACAAGACCTTGGAGATCTTATTATTTAATTCATCAAAGTCTATACGAAGCTTATGATACCTTATTTCAATTTTTAAGAGAACGTGGAGAGCAACATCGTCTTACACATATTGATCAAAAAATAACTGATGAAATATCAGAATTAATGGGCGAATTTAGTGCTATTTTTGATAATTTGGAATTTAGTAAGAAACCAACATTACAAAACGTGATTCCAAGTTATTATCTTATGAAACAATATTGTATTGTTGATAATAAACGTAAGAATTCAATTATAAATCAATTAAAATCAGAAATAAATAAACAATTAGATGATAAATACTGGACATCAACAACGTCTTTACACTGGATTGCAACGTATTTAGATCCATCGTTCAAAGAATTATCTTTTGTAAATGATCGTAAATTTTTAGATGATCAAAAAGAATGTATTATAGATGGTCTACTAGTCTTAACAGAGGATTTTAAAGATTTTCTTACACCAACCACAACAACTGACAGTTCTCCTTCGTCGTCTCTCTCTTCAACTGCCACAACAGTAGCAACAACAACATTCACACCTCCATTGAAGAAAATAAAGAAAGATGATTCATTTACCAGTATGCGAACGAATCGATCTGGTGGTTCTTCCACACAACCACAAGTTTCATTTCAAGACGAAATAAAAAAACAAATACAACTCTATGAAAATTCAGCAACTTACAGCTCATCACAAGACAATAACCCTTTAGTTTTCTGGAGAGAACAACAACAAATTCTTACTATCTTAGCTAAAATTGCAAAATCTATTTATGTTATTCAAGCATCGTCAGCTGAATCTGAAAGACATTTTTCAACAAGTGGACAAATTGTACTGAACAACGATCACAATTAGATCCTGAATGTGTTGAATCGTTAGTAGTTCTGAAAGAAGCATATTTAAATAATAATTGGCCAAAAAAATAAGAAGTTTTCATTTCTTTTGTGTGTGAATATTTCGCGTTCTGGTTTGATTCTCAGTTTGTTTGGTACTATTTAATCTGTTGCAGATATTGTTGTAAACTGGAATTAGGACAGTGCAGAAAAGTGATAACTTCAAATAAACAAGTAACAGAAATATGAAAAAGCTAGTGAAAATGACTTTTTCCATTAAAAATATTTTGATTTACTGATAAAAGCGTCTAAACCGCCCAATTTTTTTGCCGGTTTTTCACCGTTCTCGAAATTTGTTGAAAACGGACCGGTTTTTTTGCCGTTTTTCACCGGTCGGTCCGATCCGGCCGGCCCGGCCCGACCTCTTATTTTTAGACCTGTTCCAACTCTGGTACGACGTTCAGAGCTACTCTAAACGTTTACTTTGATCGATATACATATATACGCGATCATACTGACGACCAAAAACCACTGTCTGCCTTCTTTAGCACGAATAACAAAAACGATTACTTCTGTAAATGCCTCTGTTCTGGATGTTGATTATATGCGTTAAAAGTTAGACGTAAATAAAACTTTTACTCCCGATGTAGCTAGGGATGGCTCAGTATCGGTGCGAACGCTGAGATACTGACACTGATGACACCGACACTGACGATCACTGAAACACTGAAATACTGACACTGACGAACACGTGACACACTGATGCACCGATGCTGATGATCACGTGACACACTGACGCACCGACGCTGATGATCACTACACTGGAAGACCGACACACTGTCTCTAGCTAGAAGAGAATTGTTTACGTGCGCGCCTATACGCCTGCCAGCAAAAAGAAAGAAAACATCGACGGAATATACACATGATTCATGATGGTAATGGACACAGAAAGTCTTTTCATCTTCTGCTCAGGTATTCTGGTCAGTGACGGTCAGTGTCAGTGTTTCAGTGTTTCACTGATTATCAGTATCGGTGTGTCAGTGTTCATCAGTGGTAGTAATTCAGTGTTTCAGTGATTGTCAATGTAGATGCATCGGTGTGTGAAGTGTTTGCCAGTGTCAGTGTATCAGTGATAGTCAGTGTCGGTGTCGTCGGTTATCAGGGCACCGACACTGAGCCGCCATCCCTATATGTAGCCGGCTACAAGAATCACTTCTATGTACTTCTGTGTGTATTACTAGTATGATAAATCAATCTTTATTTGTAGGTATATATCCAGACGTGTTTGAAACTGGCTATGTTAATTTCTAAGCTGTGACAATCATGATTCTGTAATAATATATCGTATATAAAAACAAAACGTAATATTGGTTGGAAAGTGCTCCCGCTTGGGACATAGCAGTGTGGATCGTCTATGAATTCACGGTTATTTGTTGTGCGTGCTCTTTTATTAGGGTTTTGTACAGACTTAAATAGAAAATCCTGAGAAACCGTTCTCAAGTCTCTACAATAAAAACACAGCGAGATATAAATAATGATACCGCTAGTGTTTCGTCAATATCTGGGTGAGTTTTCATTGTATATTTCTAATTTAACTTCTTTAAAGTCTATAACACGCATCTAGTAAAGCCTTAGGTTGTTTTCTGCGTTTCAATTGTCAGATCATACCAGACATATAAAATAACAGAAAGAGTAGAAATCGAACTCACATATATATACGATCATACAAAAAAAATAAGATAAAAAATGAAACTAAAAGCCGCATCTTTGATATTTAAAACCGAACCACAGTAAGAACTATGGTATTGCACACCGTGAAAACCCACAATGGAGCCCATCGGTCCAAAAACTGTTGAGACCTCGACGAGATCTGTGCGCCGTACAAAGTAACTTTCTTTCACTCCCATTAATTGAACAACATCGCCTCGAATTTTAACATGTAAATGTTAAACGAGGTCATAGTATTTCTCTAATATTTAACTTGTTCAAACATCGTTCGAAACAAGTGCAACATCGAGTGGACGAAAGTCTCTCTCACTATCAGATGGACCGAACACCAAGGATGATTAGTATTAACTTGTAACTGCGGAGTAAACAATTTTTTGAGTGACCTGTTTCGTAATAAACAGAACAATTAAGTCATTAACATCGTTAATATAACAGAATGCTACAGATGTTCAATGTAGAACAATACCACCTTTATGATTATTACTCCCATTTACGAAAATCGTATAACGACACAATTTCTGAAAGATTCTTTCGTTGTCCCGTCTGAAAGAGTGATGTTAATCTAGTAGATGCCGCTGGTGTATTGAAAGTTTCGTCAAGATCGAATGTAAGTCACCAATTAGTGTTACAAACTGCAGTGGTTATTATGTATTTTATTTAGTTACATTGCCATATTCATGCTCCCGATATTGTGTGACAAATTAAATGCCTCATGTTTTCTTTTACATACTTATGTTTTTCATTTTACATATACAGTAGCCGATTATGCCAGAAAAATATCTCTCTATCTTTTCGTACAACTTGCATGTAATAATTCGTTATCCAATAAATACTAGCTTTTCTCCAGTTGTGATTTTGAAAGAGAGTTGAGTTTCATACAGCCAGTAGGAGCGATAGACTTTTTTGTTTTAAAATAACTAGCTTCCTGAACAGTGAAATAATGCCTTTCAAGGGCTATATTCGACACCCAAATCAAGTGCGTATGCATTGCTTCAAAGAGCATAAAAGATGGCTGATTTATGATCGATCATATAAAACACTTCATAATAATAATATAAATTAAATAAAAACAAAATTTGAATTATCTTTTCAACAAGAAAAAACATACGACAAA